GCAGATAAGCTGATAGCTCAAGTCCCAAGAACTGGAGGTCAGACAAACAGGAGGCAGCCACAGGATCCAGAGCAAGCAAAAAGCCAGAACATTGCTTATATTCAGATGCAAGCCACGCCCCCAAGGAAACTCCCTTTCAAATGATTGGCTTCTCACAGCAGATTCCATCATGGGAGTGATCACATATAAACACTGAGAATCATGGCCCAGCCAAGGCAACACACAATCCTAACCATCACACCCTGTATGTCCCCCTTGTGTGTCCCCTGTGACCCCATATGTCTCCCTGTGTCCTCTCATGTCCCCTGTGTGTCCTCCGTGTCTCCCTGGTGTCCCCATGTACCCTGAGCCTTGGTGCCATTCTTCAGGTGCTGGTCTGGCTGTCAGCAAGATGGGGCCATGAAGGAGAAGGTGTGCCCTCTGCTGTGCTGGGTGATGGGCTTAGTGCCGGGAAGTGTTTGCCAAACAGTGTCTTAATGAGGTTGGGGGCTGAGGGGCCCAGTCAGCTGTGGGAACACCAATGACAGACACCATCTGGAACGCAGGGTGACCTTGGTGTGTTCAGGGAGTGAGACAATTCCTTCTAGGAGAATTCTGTCTGCAGTGAAGCTGCTATGCGTAGCTGCCACTCTGACCGCCAGGGGTCGTCATTCCCTAAGGAGCACATTTCCTCCTGTGTTTCTTCAAGCAAGAGAGAAAAGTTGCACAGGCTGGACTGCCACTGTGAGGATCCCTGTCCAAGAGCTGCTCTTTGCTCTGGCTGTTCTTTGCCAGGCCTTTTCCTGGGGGTGGTCCACAGAGCCTCTTCTCTGAATCCAGCATTTGCTGCAGCCAAGGAAGAGTGGGCCCAGTTTGGTAGTAAAGCCCGGGTGGCAGTGTCAGTAAACACAGCCCCTCACCTGGGCCTAGACGGGCTGCATGCTCACGCTGAACCTTCTCGGGCCCAGCACGCCTGCCTCATGCTTGGTGATGGAACTTGGCGTCACAGAGGGAATAGCTGCCCTCGAAAGGCATGTCCGAGTTTAGTGTAAAAGCCCAATGTGACCTCGTTTTTGAGTTTGATTACCTCAGATTGTGGATGGTCTTCCTTTTCTACCTTATGGTGTTAATGATTTCACAGGTGGGGAGGTCGGGGTGGGCTGTGAGCACAGGTGGGGAGGTGGATGGGGGCTGGGCACCGGGTGGAGAGGTCAGGGTGGGTCGTGAGCACAGACAGGAAGGTGGGGTGGGCTGTGTCCATCAGGCAGAGAGGTCGGGGTGGGCTGTGCCCACAAGGCAGGGAGGTTGGGGTGGGCCATGAGCACTGGAGGAGAGGAGGTAGGTGTGAGCCATGAGCACCAGGTGGTGGTGGGCTGTGTCCACTGGGTGGGGAGGTCAGGGTGGTGGGCTGCGAGCACAGGCTGGGAGGTTGGTGTGTCCGCCCCCAGGGCCTGAGGGCCCGGGCTGCATCATGACAGCACCTCAAAGGGTGCTGATGGCCTCATCTGAGAGGCAACAGGACGAGAGTCCTTCAAGACGGTGGACACGGAAGGGCAGCCGGTGTCTTTATGAATTGTTGACTTTCTTTGGGTTTTAATTAATTTACTTTAAATTGCTCTATAATTTGCCACTTGTATGTATTTAACCCACTGTTACAAAAAGAAATCTTTCATTATATCTTTGTTCTTAACTCTGCTTTGTTTGCATCTGTGTCTCACTGTTCATGGCTGGCCCAGGGAACCTTGAAAACCCTGAAAGCCCTTTGCCGGCCTGGGGTGGAGGGCGACCTGCCTGTGGTGCTCAGAGTATGCAGTGCCTTGGCACCCTCCATCCTGCTGCCCTGTGCAGGACACCATGTCCATAGCATGGGGCAGCCTCCTGGGACTCTCTTGAGCCTCTGTGTGGTAACTGACGAAAGTTGTGACAAGTGGACACTGTGTGGTTGGGGGCTGCACATTCCCCTTGTGTGGAGCTGAGCGGCGGCTGCCGCAGTGGGTGGGGCTCTGCACCGAGAGCCCCCTCTGCCCCTGCATGTCTCTCCCCCCGAAGCTTCACTTGAGTGGTCTCTGTGGGGTCAGGGTGAGTCCACGTGTGTTTCCTGAGACACAAAGCAGAACACTGAGCGTGTGTGGGACTCAGATACCTGTACGTGTTCCTTACCTGGGTGTGGGTTTCAGGTTCAGGCTTGAGTCAGTGGCAGGTGGGGTTCCCTGAGTGAGCGGAGCCTTGGATCACGTTGTGGCCATACGCTATCCTCAGTGACCCATAGGACCTCTTCTATCTCCTCAGAACAAGTGCTCACGTGGACCCACGGCCTCCACTCTGGCGGAGAGTCACTGGTGAGGGGGGAGGGGGACAGCTGCAGCTTCTTGCTGGCCTGCCAGGATCCTGCTATGCAGAGTCGGGGTGGGGATGTCCCTGCCTGCGTGCTCTAGTGTCAGCCAGGGGAGAAGCCCTTCCCGTAGCCTGAGCCCGTGGATGCACATGTGGAGCTGGTCCGGGCTGCAGCGAGAGCATCGGGAGAGAAGTGGGGCTCGTGCTGGTCTTGATTGAGAACTTAATTCCAGCAGGTCCAGCTGCAAGGCTCAGTCAGAATGGGCTCCCTGGTGTGGGCTCATGGGGGCTCGGGCCAGCCTGTCAGGGAGGGGGGCTCACTCAGCTTGCTTCTCCAGGGCTGAGGTGGGAAAGGGGGGTCTGGGGTGGCGTCGGGTGTCTGGGGGTGTCTGGAGTGGGACGGGAGGCTCCAGGGTGGAGGTTTAGGGTGGTGTGGTGGGGTCTGGGGCTGGGTGGGGGATTCTGGGGCAGGAGTCTGGGGTGAGGGTGTCAGGTGAAGAGAACAAGCTGTTAGACCTCAGCCCCCTGGAGCGGGGGTGGCCTCCTGGGGTAGGAGGGAACCTCCCCCAGCCTTGTGTGAACTCCTCAGGGATGCACACAGGGGCCCTAAGGACACTGGGAGACCAGAGGATCAGCTTTCTGTTCCATAAATGTCCTGTGGATGCCTGGCCTGGGTGGGGTGCTGTGGACAGATGGTGGGGACCCACTCCATTCTGGCAGTGCCCAGCTTGGGGGCTGAAGGAGTGCCACCTGGGCAGACGCTGCTCACGGGGTGGGGGCTACTCTGAGCGTGCAGAGGCTTGGGGTAGGAGTGCTCCCCCACCCACCATAGTGGAGCTGCTCACCCATGCCCTTAGCTTCTGCTGGACCCCAGAAGTGATACCGAGAGCTTTGGCCTCCTTGCTGGTCACTGCGCAGGGCTTTGAGGACCTTAGTGGAGCCTTGCCCGCCAGTCGCTCTGCGGTGAGCCGCCTGCCACTTCCACGGGCGCTGGCTGTGGATGGGCGAGCACAGCGTCAGCCAAGGGGGTGAGTGGCGGGGCTCATTTTCCCAATACAGGTTTCAGGCCACATGGAGGTGCGGGTCCCCGGTCTGGGGGCATCTGGCTGGCTCCGGCCCTGTGCTGTGCCTGGATTCCCATGGGTGGGTGCAGTGGGTCTTGCTGTGGCCCCTGCAAGGAGCCAGTATTTGACCCAGAACTCCAGGCTGGCTCAACATGTGGTTGCTGAAGGCTCATCTCCAAATAGCCCCCTCGGAAACACCTGGAGTAGCCCACAGTGGCCCTGGGAGCCAGGAGGGCGGAGGGGTAGGCTGGCCAGTGGGCATGGTCGCTCACTGCCTTCACCCTTCTTGCAGACGTCCGGAAACAGGGGACACGGGGAGCTCTTTACCAATGGGGAGGCGTGCCCACCTCACTTCAGCCACCAGCAGCGGGAGTCTTAGAGAAGGGGCTGAGGCCGACCCAGCTCAGCCTTCGGCATCCCTGTCCTCCACGGCGTGGCCACTGCTCACCGCATAGGACCTGTCGACGGCCCTGTGCCCTCCTGCCCCACTCCCTGCGGCCTGAGATTGTGCAGAGGGACCCCATCTCACCTTGTGGCCACCCACTAGCCCACGCTTTCTCCTTAGAGACCCCCACAGGCCAGGTGCCTGTACAGGGGCCATGCTTGCCCAGGAAGGTGTCTCCCTACCACACACAGCCACCGGGAGGGGAAGTCTGGGGGCTCCTCCCCTGTCTTGCCTGGCTCAGGGCGGCAGGGGGCTGAGACGGCAGTGAAGTCTGGGGACCAGTCCTGCCACCCACTCTTGTGCTCCGAGTGAGTCAGTCTTCCCAGTAGAGGTGTGGCACTCAGGGTCACCTAGGTCCTGCTTCTGCCAGGAGGGGCCCTGATCCAGACTGGGACCCTAAGGTCTGTGCCCTGGGCTAGGAAGGCTCTGGAAAGCCTTCGGTGGGGAGTGGGAGGGGTGGGGCGTGTGCGGCTCTGTGGCGCCTTGTGGCTGCTGGGGCAGGGGGCTGTCAGCTTGTCATCAAGGGCACCCAACCTGGGGAGGAGCAGGAAGCTCGTGTTATTAGCAAATTGGACCTTGGAGATTGGCGGGGTGGGGGCAGGGCGGGTTAACTGTTGGTGACCCCGCCCAGGTCCCCCAACTACGTAGGACCCTCCGGGCAGGGGTAGGGGGCAGGGCTGTTCTTAAAGGAGGAGAAGGGAGGGCCCGGGGGAGTGGAGATGCAGCTCCTCCCCAACCAGCCCCCACCCAACTGTGGGTCAGTGGGGAGGGTCCCTGGTCCCCGCCCCGTCATGGGCGCCTCTGGGGCGGCCTGGGGGCGGCCTCGGCTGACGGATCATCAGTGCGTGAGCCCTCCCCCTTGGAGCCCGTGAGGTTTGGGAGGGAGCAGAGGATTTATTTGGCGGGTGGAGCGTGGAGGGCAGTGTTCAGAGAGGAGGCCGGGCTGGTGTGGCCAGGGCAGACCCGCTCTGCTGTGGGGGCTGTGGGTACTGCTGGGACAGGACCCTTCCAAGCCACGCCGTCTCTGCGCAGACATGCAAGGGTGCCCCGGGGCCTCGCCCAAACGCGGGGTCTCCGGGCACCCAGCAATTCAGCAGCCGCGCCCCTGAGCAGACCAGACTCTGGGTCTCCGCACTGCACTGAGCACAGGCCACTGTCCGTGTTGGGAGCCACAGACCATGAGGGGCTGGGCGTGGGCTGCGATGGTGGCCCTCCTCTGGCCACAGCTTGCACTCCTTGGGGGTGTCGGGGCCCGGCGGGAGCCCAAGCGGCCACGGCAGCTCAGCCCGAGCACCATGCCCCTCAATGCCACCATCCGCAACAGCCAGGAGCCACTCGGCCTTCCCAAGGTAGGCACAGGCTGGGCGCACGTGGCCTCCAAGGGGCGCTGGCCGCTGCTGCGGCACCCCTTCCTGCAGTCCTGTCAGGCTCGGAAGCAGCTTCAGGCAGAGAGCCCCCTCCTCCCCTGCAGCCTGGGGGAGGGGGACTTCCCAGCAGGGCTGCATTAACCCTTTGAAGCCCTAGGCCTGGCATGCCTGGAGCAACCTGCTGCAGAAGGTGGTGGCCATAGGTGTGATTGTGAATGTGGTGGAGGTGGGAGGGGCCCCAGGCAGCTTTGGAAGTGGGTCACCAGACCTGCCCTGGGGAATCTGAGACTGCAGAGGCCTCTGCCAGCCCGACTCTTGCTTCCTGGGGGTCCTTAAGCTGACTCCGCCAAACTCACCCCCGAGGGAGGCACCCTGGCTGTGGCCTAGCGTCCATCTCTTGGGCACCCACCCGCTCAGCTCTCGGTCTCTCCGAGACAAGAGACTATGTCTGTCCCAACCCTGGGCCTCTTGGGCCAGGGTCTTCTGAGGGGATATTGGCACTGACTCCAGTAGTGCAGGCCTCAGGGAGCCTGGCAGGCCCCCACCAGTCCGGGCGGCCTTTGATCCTGCCTGCACTGCCTCCCAGGGCTTCTCCGTGGCTGCCTGCCCTGCCTCTCGGCCCACACAGCCCACTGGGCCTTAGGCCATGTTTTCCAGATGGGCAGGCCGAGGAGGGTCGGGGCTTCAGACAGCAGTGGAGTCCTTGGGCCTGGTCTCCAGGCTGGCACCTCAGGGAGGGGCGGGGGCTCCCACCTGGGTCCATGAGCAGCAAGTCCCCAGCCCCGCCCTTCCCTGGAGGACTGCCTCGCTAGGTCTCTCTGAGGAGGGTGCTCCAGGCCATGTGAAGTTGGGGTGCTCCAGGCCGGAACTTCCAAGCATGGGGACCAGTTCTTCCCACCGTGGTGTGGGCCGTCCTTTGCCTGCCCCCCACAGCTTTGGCCCTCCAGGCCCCTGGGCCCTCCTGGGTGCTAAGGAGCAGGGCTAGCAGGAGCTCCCTACCCCTCAGCCAGGGCCCAGGCCAGGCCAGGACCCTGGGACTATGGGAGGGTCTTCCTGGGCAGATTCAGAGCCACAGGAGCCTGGTCAGGAAGGCTGGTCCAGCCCCGCCTGTGGGGCATCCGGCGATGCTGCTCTATGCCTGGGACAGTCAGGCACTTCCCTTGGCTGGGGCAGTATACTAGCCCCTACAACCCCACCCCTATAGCCGCCTGAGGCCCCGGCGCCTGAGTTCTCAGATGCCCATATGACATGGCTGAATTTTGTGCGACGGCCGGATGATGTGGCAAAGAAACGATGCCGTGCCAGGGACAAGAAGTCGGTGAGTCCCGGCCCAGCACTGCCTTCCTGGCCCCAACCCTTCCAGACCCTCTGGGGTCTGCTCAGTGCTCCCCTACCCCTCACTTTCTCCTCTGCCTGCCCCCAGGGAGTCCTCTCGGGCCCCCCAGGACCTCCTGGGCCGCCTGGCCCCCCGGGGCCCCCCGGGGCTGAAATCACCCAGGAGGTTCTTCTTCGGGAGTTTCAGGAGATGCTGAAAGGTGAGGCCATTGCTGCCCCTCCCCTCCCCCACTCAGAGCCTGGGGGGCCAGACCCCCACCATGACCTGAACTGACCTCATGCTGGCCCACGCTGGCCACCTGTGCCTTGTCCCCACAGAGGCCACTGAGCGTCGGTTCTCAGGGCCGCTGGGCCTGCTGCTGCCTGAGGGGGCAGGTGGGCAGCTGGTGGCCGAGGCCTTTCATTGCCGGCTGAAGGGCCCTCTGCTGGCAGACAAGAAGACGCTGGTGGAGCTGCAGGGCTTCCAGGCTGTAAGTGGGAGAGCTGTGGGGGGTGGGGGGTGACTGCGGGACCAGGGGGCAGCTAGGATGGGAGGGCCCGAGTGGAGTCCAGGGTGGTGGTATGGGCGCGCCAGGCATGGAAGGTGAGAGGCCCGAATCAGAGTTAGGGGCACTGTTTACGAAGACTCCCCCTTATGCCAGGACCAGGAGCAGAGTCCAGGAGATAACCAGAAGGCAGATGACCCCCCTGTGGGTCACCCATGGACACCCCAGCAGGCCTCTTCTGCCTCCTCATGAGAGTGAAGGCTGAGGGACAGGCGTATGGGGTGAGAGGCCTGGAGCCCAGGAGCCGAGGGACTGGGATGTGGGGTGTTGTCCCGGCCTAGAGCCAGAGGGATTGAGGTGTAGGGTGAGGGCCAGGCCTGGAGCTGTGCTAATGCCCTTCCCTCACAGCCCGCAGCCCAGGGTGCCTTCCTGCGAGGCTCAGGCCTGAGCCTGGCCTCGGGGCGCTTCACAGCCCCTGTGTCCGCCATCTTCCAGTTTTCTGCCAGCCTGCACATGGGTGAGCGGGAGGGGCAGGTGGCAGGGGGCAGGGGGTTCTACTCGAGGGGTCCTGCTTGGGGAGGTGGGACAGGGTATGAGGGGTCCTGCTGGGGGTGAGGATGGGGCATGGGGGTCCACCTCGAGGGGATCCTGCTCAGGGAGGTGGGGGTGGGATGGGGGGATCCCAGACAGGACGCAGGGGTCCTCCTTGGTCTGCTCTGCCCCTGGCCTCATGCCAACCCTCCCCAACCGGGGCAATCACTCCTGAGGTGGGTCCCAGGCACTATGTCCTAAAGCCCCTTCCCCAGCGCCCCCCCCCCCGCCACCTGCATTCCTCCCCGGGGGGCCGCTGCAGACCGGGCCATCTCCGCAGACCTCAGTGAGCTAAGGGGCAGGTCCCAGCTGAGGGCGCGAGACACGGTCCGCTTGCTCATCTGCATTGATTCCCTGTGCCACCGCCACACGTGAGTGACGCTGCCTGAGCACTGAGGCCTCCTGGACCAGGCACTGGGGCAGGTTTAGCCCTCAGGGTGGGAGCCTGGGGCAGGGTTGATCCCACGGGGTGGGAGGTGTGGGCCTGGGACAGGGTGGGGCCTTCAGAGTAGGGGTTCGGGACCAGGGCAGGTTCAGCCCCTTGAGGATGGTCCAGGTCCAGGGTGGTTGCCGTGTCCTCACCTGCGCTGCTCTGGGGTCCTGTCCAGGTCCCTGGAGGCGATCTCGGGCCTAGAGAGCAACAGCAGGGTTCTCACTGTGCACGTGCAGGGGCTGCTGCAGCTGCAGGTGAGTGGGAGAGGGTCCTGAGGCCCAGGGTAGGGGCCATTCTCCCCAGCGCCTGTGTGCTTGGGCCCTTTGGCTGCTGGTCCCCCGTCTCACGCCCAGCATAGCAGTGTCCTGCGTGGGGCATTGCTGGTGGGTGTGTTCTTAGGCACAAGCTGGTTTCCCATCTGGGTGGGGGTAGCTGCTTGGCCACCCAGCACCTGTGACGTTTATGGGGGGTCACCCCCAGGCTGGGCAGTCGGCCTCCGTCTTCGTGGACAATGGCTCTGGGGCCACCCTCACCATCCAGAGCAGCTCCAGTTTCTCGGGACTGCTCCTGGGCATGTGAGACCAGAAGTGCGGCCAGAGGAAGAGAAGCCACCACCCTGCTGTCCTCTGTCCATGCCTGTGGTCCTGAAAATAAAGAGTGAGGGGCTTGAGCCCCCATCACCCTCAGTGTTGCCTGGTCATTGCTTGGCAGAGGTGGGGCCAGACGATTGGGGCATGATGGGAGTGTTATCCATGCTCGGCCCAGACTTGGCGTCAGCCCTGCAGAGGGGCCCACAGAGCAGCACCCCTACACTCATTCACACTGCATCCTCTGGATGCACATGGCCATGGGGGGGCCTGGGGACCTGCTTGTCCAGCGACCACACTGTCTTCTGGAGCTGGTTTGTCGCCAGGCTCCGGCCAAGGACATGGTGCCGCCCACAGTCCCCTGAGCCTGAGAGCCCCTCCCCCCAGGGCGAGCACTGGAGGCCGCAGGGGTTGCTAGCAGAAAACTGGCCTGATGCAACCCACTGCTCCCATACCGGGGGTGCAGAGGGTAGGGGGTGTCCGTACCTGAGGGGCAGGGGATGGTGGTGTGCCCATATCTGGGGTGCAGATGGCAAGTTTGGGGGTCCACTTGTATGTAGGGAACAGAGGGCAATGGGTGGGCCCTTGGAAGGATTGGGGTCTGGAGCCCAGCGTGCCAGGCCTGCAGCTCGGAGGATCACACCTACTGGTGGGAGACAGGTGTGGACAGCAGGTGTGTGTGCCTGGCTGTTTGTGAGGGGCTGGGTTGGGAAGGGGTTGCAGGCCCCTGCAGCAGGCATGTGCAGACCCAAAGCCTCAAAGTCCTGTGAGTTTGTACCTCTGCCCCCCTCTCCTCCACCCCCTCCTGGCTCCAGCAAACCCAGACAAAGAATGTAAATTGGCCATGGGAAGTGCAGTGGTCTCCAGCCGCTGAGATAGCATCTTTGGTTGGCACCTGAGCTCCCAGCCAGGCGGCTGTGGGCTTGGGGGGACCCCAAGGGTGGAGGCAGAGCTAGACTCAGTGGTAGGAGGGCCTAGAAAACTTGTTTCCAAGGCTGATGGGGGCTCCCTTCAGGGGCCAGGGCCGGAGGGGGCAGGAAGATGCTGGAAGACAAGCTGGAGCCATTATTCACCCCCTACACCTGCTGGGGGCACAGGAGGGCCCTCCCTGAAGCAGCAGCTGGGTAATGGGGCTGCTGACAGAGCCAAGCCTGGGCACTTGTCCATATAGCTGATGGGCTTGCCTGCTGACCCTTCCCTGCTCCCTCCCTCCACGTCAGGGATGGGACGGGGTGCCTGGAGGGTTTTTTTTCATAGCGAAGACTGCTACCCCCTGGTCTGAATGGGGGTGTTCTGGCAACCTCCGAGGATTAGGATCCTCATGGAGGAGGTGGGCGGAAGGGACACACAGGGGAGGACGAGGCTGGGGAAGGGGCGATGGCCCTGCCACTCCCAATTTCAGTGTCCCGGTGTGACCACAGGTGCCCAGGCCAGATGGAGGAGTCGGGCATAGACCTGGGGACCTGACCTGCCTTACCTAGGGGGCCTTGCCTCAGGGGGTGAGGTCCTTGGCTCAAGGCTTCCTCCGCAGTCCATCAGTGAGGGGTGCAGGGCCACGCCCCTCACAGAAGGGGACACTGAGGCTGTGCCCAGGAGGTCCTGCCCAGGGCATGCTGCAGGGGCTGAGGATTGGGGTCCATGGAGGAGGCAGTGCAGGGCCTGGGCTGGATGAAAGGTGGGGGCACAGATGGGTGACGAGGTGCAGAGGGGCCGCAGGGGTGGGGTGGTGCCTGGGGTGAGAAGGGGCTGAGGAGTGGAGGTGCCTGGGGTGGGAAGTGGCTTCTGGGAGGGCCGCACTCTTCTGGTTGGCGTTGGACGGGGGTGGGGGTGGGGGTGCATGGACCCCGGGCAGCAGATGCCTCATTTTGAAGCATCAGGGTTTCCAAGGCTCCTTCCTGTGCCTGACACTGGTCACTTGTTCACCCGAGGACAGCTCCACCTTCCAGGACCCAGCAGCCAGGAGCCGACGGGGGTGGGGGGCAGCTTCCCTGGGGGGTCTTGCCTCCTGGGGGTTTGAGGTGACAGGGATGGGGACCCAGAGCAGCACAGGTGCAGACCAGGCACAACGTGAGGTGGAGACAAATGAAGACACAGGGGGAGGTGTGGGAGCAGCCTGGTGCCTGTGGGCAGGGGGCCAGGGCCAGCACGGCACATCTGTCATCTCTGTCTGCCTCCTCTTCCTCTCCCTGTGCTGCCCTCCTAATGGGGTCATTAGCCACTTAGCAGTTGCTCGCCTGGAATGCCTTGTCTCCACCGAGCCCCATGGCTCGCCTGGAATGCCTTGTCTCCACCGAGCCCCAAGAGCGTGGGGAGAGACTGGGTGGGCCTGGCTTGGCGGTTGCCGGAGAAGGCATCAGGGGAGTGTGGCCTAGGGTAGTCCAAACCAGCCCCGTGAGGTCAGCCCTGAGAACACAGGCCTATCCCCCAGTGAGGCAGGGGGCTAAATGGAGGGTAAGACCCAGCAGCCACCTCCAGTCTCCCCAGGATCCCCCTGGCTCTGCCCTCAGCTCTGCCCTGGCCCAGCTTCCGCATCATTCTCTCTCTGCCTCACTTCCTCCCCCAGCCCTGACCCAAACTCTAGTGTTGGCAAGACTCCCCAGGGCCGTGGCTGGGGTCTGGAGCACCCCCCCCATGAGGGGCCCTGGGCCCTGGAGATAAGTCGGGGAATGCTGGTCACGACCACTGAGGGGCTGGGCTGGAGCTGCTGCTGCTTAGGGTGGGGCACGAGGGAGTCTCAGGGGTCCCAGGGAGTCCTGGGAAGGTGTGGGAGTCAGGGGAGGGGCTTCAGAGCCCAGCTTTGGGGTGGCTGGAGTGTCTGGCCATCTTCCGGCGCCTGGCTGGGTTTAGAGCCAGAGCGGCCAATGTGGTGCTGGGTGGCCTCAGGCTGACACGTTGACCCCTCCGCGCCCCAGAGCAGCCGGGGCCTGGGCTGGCCTCGCCGCCTGACCCCAGGGCTGACTTCCCAGAAGCGCTGTCCGACCCCGCCTCCTGCCTGACCAGGGGCTGGTAGGGGGGGCTGCTGCAGATCAGTGGTGCGTGTGCTCCTGGCCACCTGTTGTGGATGCTCCTCTGCTCAGCGCCGGCGCTGGTTTCGGGGCACAGTCTGGCTGGGCTGACTGGCCCCTCCTGCCCGCTGAGGTCCTAACTGAGGCCGGTGCCGGGTCTGAGGCCGTGGCCCCGGGGCCTGGCATGGTGAATATGCCTTGGCCTTGGGTCAGAGCTGGGGACCCTCACCCCACATCTTCAGTATGCTGCCCTGAGTTTGGGAACAGACAGGAATGTCTGGCTCAGTGTGGCTGGAATGTCCTCGAACCAGGAGCACAGGCCGGCCCTCAGGAGCAGGGGGCAGGGCTGGGGTCCTGACTAGGGGGTGGGCTGAGCCCCGAGCCACACCCTGAGTGAGCCTATGGGTTCCAGTGCTGTTGTTCAGCACCCCCAATCCCTGTGTTCCCCTCTGGGGTTGCCTGGAGGGCTGTGGTTGGGGCCTTGTTAAAGAGGCCCATCCACCCTGGTGTGGGCCCTGGCATACCTAGGAGAGGTGTGGACCTTGGGGTGGGGCCAGGACAGGCTAGCTGTTTCTGACCTCTGACTTTACCAGCCTTAGGCCAGGCAGGGGCTGGGAGGGGATGTGGGCTCTGAGGGCCTTGTCCCCAGCTCGCCCCTGGGAGGAAGCATAGCCACAGGGGTTCTTGAGTCTTGCCCACTGCCTGGTAGGTCCTCCCACAAATGGCCACATGCCCTGATCCCTGTGACCTGGCCTAGCCCCCCAGCCTTCATCAGAAATTGTGTGTGTGCAAATAGATATATGCACACCCATGTTCACTGCAGCACTGTTCACAATAGCAAAAAGATGGAAACAACCTAGGTGCCCATCAACGGACGAACGGATAAACAAATTATGGTATATTCACATAATGGAATACTACACAGCAATAAAGAACAACTATGAAGCCATGAAACATAACATGGAGGAAGCTGGAGGTCACTATGCTGAGTGAATTTAGTCAGTCACAGAAGGACAAATACTATATAAGATCACTATTATAAGAACTCAAGAAAAGGTTTGAACACAGAAGAAAACATTCGTTGATGGTTATGAGGGTGAAGGTTATTTACTAACTAGATAGTAGATAAGAATTATCTTAGGTGAAGGGAAGGACAGCACACACTACAGGGGAAGTCAGCACAACTGGACTAAACCAAAGCTAAGAAGTTTCTTGAATACAATCAAACACTTTGAGGGACAGAGTAGCAGGGGTAGGGGTCTGGGGAACATGCTTTCAGAGTACATCTATGTCAATTGGCATAAGAAAGCTTATTAAGAAAATGTTCTGCATCCTACTTTGGTGAGTGGCGTCTGGGGTCTTAAAAGCTCGCAAGCGGCCATCTAAGATGCATCAATTGGTCCCAACCATCCGGAGTAAAGGAGAATGAAGAACACCAAAGACACAAGGAAAGTATTAGCCCAAGAGATGGAAAGGGCCGCATAAACCAGAGACTTCATCAGCCTGAGACCAGAAGAACTAGATGGTGCCCGGCAACCACCAATGATCGCCCTGACAGGGAACACAACAGAGTCCTGGATGGAGCAGGAGAAAGGTGGGGAGCAGAACTCAAATTCTGGTAAGAAGATCAGACTTAATAGTCTGACTGAGACTGGAGGAACCGCAGAAAGCATGGCCCCTGGATTCTCTAACAGCCCAGAACTAAAACAATTTCCGAGGCCAACTCTTCAGACAGGGATTGGACTGGACTTTGGGACATAAAGTGATACTCGTGAGGAGTGTGTCTCTTAGTTCAAGTAGATACGAGAGACCATAGGGGAAGCTTCTGTCTGGAGGTGAGATGGGAAGGCAGAGAGGGTTAGGAGCTGGTTGAATGGACATGGGGAATCAGGAGTGGAAAGGAAGAGGGTGCTGTCACAGTATAGGGAGAGCAATTAGGGTCACATAACAATGTATGTATAAATTTTTGTATGGGAAAAAATTTTAA